ACATAAATTTTATTATGATTGCATTATTATTACAAAAAATATAGCGATTTCTTATTACCTAGTTACTTTCCACCAACACTTTATATTTATACTAAATTCTAAATTGACTAGTGTTTTCATTCTTATTGATAGATTAGGAAACGAGTCTTTACCAAATATTTTCAAACTTTACAACAAATTTAATGTTTCTATCTCTCTGGAAATGGTAAATAGTGGAAGAAAAATATCTGCTAAGATTCAATTTTAAGCAAATATCTTACTTTATATGTTACTTATTTAGGAAACTTTATATAAATTGACGCTTTGGAGTTTAATTTAAATTTCCCGTGGCTGCCTGGTTAAGGTCTCTTATTATATCAAGCGTAAAAACAAATTCCTAGTTGAAAAATTGAATGAAAAATTCACAGAATAAGTAATATTTATTATTGTTTTCAAGAATTTCTGCTCGTGGAAAATTTTCGAACAACATCTGACATTTTTAAAAAGGTTCCTAAACAGCAGCCTGATGCATCAAAATATAAATTAAATTATTTCCGAGTTTTATCATACTGAAGACGTTTCCAAGTGGATGATTCTTGACGGTAGCATCAATAATTTTGAGGCCCACGCAATAAATTTTTTGGGACTTCCACCTAACCAAAAAAATTTTGATTTTTTCTCTTTATTTTCTTGTAACTTTTAAAAATATTCAAGTAGTGTGAGGTCCTCCGGACCCTCTGCATTATGGGTTCTATAGAACCTAGTTTAATTTTGTCCATTTTTTTCGGATTTTTACTGTAAAAATATATAATTCTGAGCTTAAATTTTAGCTAGAATAGCTTCTGGTTTATAAATTCTTCACAGAAATTTAAATTTCTACTCCAGTTAAGCAAATAAATAAATAAATAAACCACTTAAAATTAGAAAATAAAACATTAGAATTTTACTTATTTTAATTGTATCATAAATTTAAATTATTATTATTTTTTTTTAATTTAATTTCATTCGATTTTTTTCTTACGCCAGCAAAAATATCATTTGAAAATGGAGCGAGTTTAATTATTTTCCTAGCTAAAATGATGTCGTTTTAATCGTTTTTTTTTTCTTTGTCTTTTTGCTCGGAAAGATAAAACTAGATAAATGAAGAAATAATTGCTTTATTAAAAATGATAGGTAAACTTATATATAAATATTTGCATAGATGCCGCTCAAATTACTTAAGGTAGATGAGGCGGTTAATGGTGTCAAAAATTCCTTGTTTAACGTTCTTTTAATTTTCATAATAGAACCTAATACGAGAGGCAGTTATACTCTTTGAAAACGTGACTCTCACTTTTACTTTCATAATCGGTGTTTAATTGTGCATTTACAAGGCTACAGGACAATGCAAGTGATATTTAATGACAGTAGTCGTTCCGACTATCCTCTACAGATGGCACTAGCGTTGACTGTAATTTGTACAGACGACGATAGATGGCGCGGAGTGCGTTGTATTTTTACTACCGCCACCACGCCACCTTTCTTTTTTTCTTTTTTAAATAATATTTTTGAGTAGGGTAAAAATCGCCGAATATTTTTTTACTATTTTCACGTATACTTTTAGTACTATTTTTATGCTAAATTAAACCACGTTCCATAAATTTCGGTAGATATCAACAGTTTTCTCGGAGGGAGTGGAGGTTTTTCCTTCGTAGAACGGGGAAGAAATATTATTAAAAGATCGCCTCACTTCAAAGAGGATTAACCCTCTTGATTGAGACAAAATTTCATTCCAAAAACGGCTCAACGAAACCTCCGGTCGAACAAACATGGGAATTCATCTTAAGTTTCTTTTTTATTATTTATTTTTTTTTGTTTTATTTTGCTCTTTTCGTAAAATTAATGAACTAGACGAGGGGTGATTCTGAGACAACTAATTTCATCTCTCTCCAAGGATACATCCACTTTAATTAAGTCTTTGTTTTTTATTATTTCTTCGACGTCACATTAATAGAAGGCTTAGAAGGCGCTGTGGTTAGAAAAACGTTCTCCCGCTGTTTTCAGCGCTACCGATGTGTTTCACTGAATAATTCATCGGCTAGTTAGGCCCGGAAATTCCAGCTTCATTAAGTCAGTGACATATCAACTACCTCCGGAGGAAACTTGCTATCCCGTCTTCGTCCATTGTGCAGCAATTAGAAGATATAACGACTCTGAAAGCTTTCGAGGGGGCAAGCTAAAACGGAGAGGAGCAACTAGAAAAAAAAAAATTAAAGAAAATATCTTAATGCTATCCATTACTTGCATGTATTTTTTTTTTTTGTTTTTTTCCTTCTTCCTCTTCTTCTTCCTTCCACTCCGGTGTCCCAAAAGAGCATCAGAGAACCGGAGAAGAGTTAGAGAGTTGTTTCTAAAAGCAATCAGGCACGCAAGGGGCTCGACAGCCTGCAATGAGATCAGCACTTCGTCGCTATCGACTTAAACATTAAATCGAAATTTGGAAGGGAAGAAGATACACCCACCCCCCTTACAGTTACAGCTCAAATGCCGGGAGTATAACACTGCTAGAACCTTCCGCAGTTTTTGCTCCCCCCACCATCCTCCCAAAAAGTAGAAGTCATTAAGCGTACTGTAACATGTTTAGAAAAACACGGATATTCGGGAGTTAGAATAGGGTCTAAAGCGACATCTGGATGTCTAATGGGAGTATACAATCTTCGGGCTATTCCTTTAAATCCGTCTTATCGCACCGTTTCGGTGGATCCCCCCGTTTTAGCTTTATCGGTCTCCGTTTTCTACTAATTACTTGGCAGTAGCTAATTGCTAGAGATTTGCTTTCTCTCGGAGACCTCATTTCCCATCTAGTCATTTGCATTAAAAGGAAATTTGGGTCTCGCCATTATTGGCACATTAACCAAAATCACGCTCGTTCTACCGACGATTGTGCCTCTGCCATTAATTGCTCTTGTTCTAGCACTAATTATTTCACAGGGAGTGTTCTCGATTTCTTGTACTCCCACACTAAATTAATTCATGCCATCTGCTACTCTGAATATTTATCAGACAACAGAAATCTCGCATTTTCTCACTAATTACAGCCGAATGGAGCCATATACATTGTATAAAGATATACCCCATCTTTGAATGCCGTTGCCTAATTTACCTTCCGTCTTATTGGCATACTTCAAACATAATTAAAAACACGTAAAAATAACGCCCCCTTCGATTGGTTCCATACTTTTAAATGAAAATCCGCCGATCCACCAATCACAAAATTTCTTTCGAGCATTTAAATTTTTTTTTTTTCGGGGTGGGGAAAATTCTGTTAATGTTTAGCGATTAAATTTTTCTTTAACGTTAATTTTTCTTCTTTTTTTTAATTTTTAATTACGATTACAAAAAAATTCGAAAATTTCTGAAGTACCGCCGGAATGCGTAAGGTTCAGCAGTTTAATACTTAAATAAAAGCTGTTAGTTTAATGAGTTTACTTAATTCTGTTATAAATTATAATGAAATGCTCCCATAAATAAATTCTAATCTAATTTATGTGTTAGATTGAAATTATTATTAAAAGTTACGAGTGCGAATTGCAAAATTAACGATTGCAAATTTGTAAATGGTTCAAACTGTTAATTAATCGACAGAATGAGGGAAGAGACAAAGAAAAAAAATGTATATATAAAAATTAAAAATTAATATTGATAATAATAATAATGATAAAATGCTAAAAGGGAATAAAATTTCTGGTATTTTGCGAAGAATTTCTCATATAAAATCCATAATTTATGCAGAGACAATCAGAAATTAATATTGGATCTTTCAGAGTGATGCAGTTTATAAAATCTTCTATTATTTTTATTATTATTATTTTTTTTTTCTTCCCGCTAACTCATAAAGTAAAAACTATATATTCATCGCATTTTAATTCAAAGTTTGCTTCAATAAATTTTCATCAGAATACGGAGCCATCAACGGAGATTGAGAAGCGTTGTTTATAGAAGAGCAACAACGATAGCTAACTTACATCAGGAGCAATTGCTGATTATATTTAAACCAATCAGAAGTGGGAGAGTGGTTGCTGTAGTCGGAACGGTTGATGTATGCAGTCCAGTGAGATGCGAGAACCTTGAGGCTGGAGAGCTTCCTCGTTTCTCTCTTCCCCCCTTCCTCCCTCTCCCAGTCAGGTTGTCATAGCGACCAGTATGGATTTATATATCGGCGCTTTCACGAATATAAATCTCGGTTTCGTGGAAATTGTTTTCCTAGTAATAAGTTTAATGCACGAAGCGGGAGATGGGAAGAGATGCTACTCCACCACCTACGAAGATATGAGGGTTGTTTTATTTTATTTGTTTCTTACGACGGCTTTGCAAATGTTAGTAGGCTAATCTTGCCATGTATAAAATACAATTTTCTATTTTCTGTAATAATTTGTAAAGCCGTTGGGAATTTTTTTTCGTTTGTTTTCTTTTTCATAACCGTGTTTAAAAAGTCAGCTGGAGAATCAGCGGTACGTAATAAATTCTAAAATGTTAAATACTCGCGTAGTTTCGGGGTTAATTAAGGTTCCTTAAGAATAATTTAAATCTAGTCACGTTTTATAAGGTTAAATTCGTATAAGGTAATCGGGCTTATTTAATATTTTGCATTTGAAATAAGGAGAAAATATTTATATGACCGTCCCGAACGGCGATTTCCCTTCCTACGTACAATTTATGTAATATTATCGATTCTGTAACCTGAATAAAACGGAAACCTGCCTAAGCGGGAAGAATTCTACGAAAATCAGCGATTTTCTATGTTAAAAACCTGTTCAAACCGCGCAATTCAGACTTAAACAGGTTCTGCTGTATATTATCTTAAGTGTATTGTGAGACAATTAAACGTCATACAACTGTCATTTAAATAATTTTAATATGTTCAATATGAAACGACTTTCTTTCGATACAAGACAGTACTTTACACAAATATACCAAACAGAAAATAAATTTAATAATTATACAAATACAATTTATGTTTATAAAAAGGTTTTGACCTTTTTTTTCTTCTCTTCTTCTTCTTTTAAACTGTAATCTGTCGAATAAATATTTATTGAACTTATTATAAGTTTTATTCTGCAATAAATAACAAACAATATGTGTTCCATTATCGACGAGGGGAGGAAATTTTCCTTTATTTTTCCAAATTTTTTCCTCCTCCCCCATTCATTTAAAATGTTAAGACCTACTCTTTTTGGAGAAGTGTTGACCTACGGCGATACATTCAAAGAATCTCTCTGTACACGAACTAAAACTCGATAGGTTAATAACATAATTAAACCTAATGTGAACGACTGAAATCTTATGTACAGTACAACCTCACGGCTCCGAACTTAGGATTGGTTAGTTGAGCATCACGTGACTCGGATATGGTACCCTAATTTACATTCTCGGAAACGTCGTAACGCTATGTTACCAATCTACGTGTTTTTTTAATTCGATATACCGAAGTGGCGTGGAAAAGAAAAGGCAATTTTCTTGTCGGTTATTATTTATTTATGTATTTATATTATTTTTAAAAAATTTCTATAGTCAAGTGAATGCCAATTCAACCAACCAATCTCAGAAATCCTTATATCCGGGGTTCATTCCCGGACCTACAGGAATGGAGAGAGGGCAACATCAGTTTCACCGGGTTATAAAGTAGCCAAAAATGATTTTCAATCGGCAGGTGTGCCATTTCATAAGCAGAATAACACAATAAAACTTATGAAATGATACCCCCTTGGTATTATATACTTGTTTTTTATTTATTTATTTATTTATTTATGTAATTTTTTATGTATAATTTTTTCTGCCTTTCTTCTGATAATCTGGCATCGATATCGATATACAGATTGAATTGCACATTGTTGCGGATTTGATTGTGTTACGGCGATGATAACCTATCTGTTACATCTTCCTGTCTCAGTCCCGATGATCCGTCATCATCTCGTTTGAAACGTTTCCCGTCTAAACCGTTTAGTTCTTCTGCATCCGAACTGTCGTCGTGTCTCATTTGTTCAGCTTCAGAGTCGTGTTTCTTCTTGGCTGTTGCCATCTCCGCTGCGTGCTTTTTTCGCCATTTTGTCCGTCGATTTTGAAACCATACCTACAAAAAAAATTTTTTTTTAAATAAACACAACAGCTTCAGCAATCGTCCAGTAGGAGGCGCGTTTCGTGGTATCCGTTACAACACTAGAATTAACATAGACAAGTAATGACGAGCACGCGAAAGTGAAGAGCGGCGTGAAGATTTCAAAAATGATTAAAGTAAGAGAGATGAGGCGAAGTGAATAAATTTTAATTTTTGAAGATTTTATGGAGCAATTGAACCGTCGAGTGAGGTTAAATTCAGTCGATCGTTTAAGATGTCTGACCAAACGAGTAATGGGCCAGGCTTGTGGCTAGTTGTCTCCAAAGCTGCGGTTCCGACACAAACCACATCAATCATTGACTGCTGTGATAAGAGAATCGAATAGGGCTCCTAAAAGAATCGTTTGTCTTCATAAATCCCTTAATCCGCTGTCCCTACTGGAGAAATAATAGAAGCGAAGTTAGTAAATGTGTTGTTTCTTTCTTCTTTTCTTCTGGAATTGTTTTGTCTTTTTGTATCACGTTTGCTCAGGGAAATTTCCTGTAAAATTTCCCTTCCCCCCTTCCTTAACATCATCAGAAACTGAGTCTTCAACACTTAAAGCAATGCACAAGTCATCACAAGGTTTGAATTATCAGAATTAGTGCCGATATGCAAGATAGGATAATTATATAATATCATTTCGTGATAATAATGACCACGTTATAATATTAAGCAAGTATAGGATAATTGAAACTGATGAGTCAACTATGCTAACGACTGTTTGTGTATGAGGTCATTAAGATATAACTGTTATAAAATGATTGTGTAAACACCGTACCCATTCTCGATACACTACTACACACCAGTCATAAGTAGCAATGCTACTTTATGCCCTTAAATAAAGGCTTTAAAATTGGATTTAATATTAAACTGATACGTCACAAGCGGTACAAATTTATAACCTGTGTTTTTTTCATTACAGATGGAAGCCTTATAATAGTAATAACTGTCAAAAAATAATAGAAGGCGTGGAATGAGAGAGAGAAAGAGGGGTTTTTCTTTTCCAAAAACAAGTTCGATAGGCCTATCAGGAAGTTTATTGGGGTATATGAGAGAGTGTGGTGTGTGAAAGTTATTGCTGCAATAGAGCAATGATATACACCACTAAACCAATAGGAGTCATGTCAAATGATTCTATTACTTACTTGATTGAATGTCTCTCGTTCTACGTCTATTCTGACGTAATCACCGAGCCAAATACGTAAAAGATTACACCCTATTCTATCGAATTTTACTGTTGAAATCTGCATGTGTAATAGGAATTACTGAATTAACATTGCAGTTGACTGTTAATGATGCATCAACACGTCTATATCACTCGTCTTCTGGGAACCATCGAATTACATTCTATACACTCAGTTCCTATCGAATTGCCTCTCGTATCAAATTATGTGAATCTCTACTTAACAAAATGCTTGAATATCTTTTATTTTCCTTTATTCCCACGTAAAATTGCCCCCCTAACAATAAAAACTTTTGTGTGAGTAAGGGAATAAAATTAATTATTTTTCGATAAATCAGACAATTTTGCTGGGAAATTTCCATTATTTTAATTTACTATTTGCTTAAATTATACTAGAAATCAGCTCTTTTATAATTGTGTATGGTAAATTTTCTACATAATTTTGGAAAATTTAAATTAAAAGTCGAATATATAAATTGAAAATTCATCGGAATAAACTAGTAACATGGCCATGATTTAAAAGCTTATTATTATAAAATTAATGTTATTTATATTAATAAAAATCGATTTGTTGTATTTATAATTATAATAAAATATAAACTAGATGTAAAAATTAAACGAATTTATAAAACGTAATTTTAAATTTATGACTTTTTTAATGCTTGTGTTTATTAATGTAACTGTATTTAATTATTAATTAAGTTATTTTAATGTGAATTAATGTCTAGAAATTTATATACACCCTTCAAAAATACAAAAGGTAAACATTTTGATTTTTTACTTTAATCCAAAATGAAAATTTAAGTGAATTTTCCATTGAAAAATTCCATTATTTATGTTTTGACTCTATTTTTTTTTAAACATATTTAAAGCCTCTTGCGTCTTAAATATTTACTTAAATTATGAATTAATGATAATCAAAATAGTTTCTTAATGTTAATTATTAAATTTTCAAATAATAGAAATTTATAAACTTCTTTATTTTTAGAAACAACAACGTTTATTTTTCAGGTTTCGTTTAGCATTTCTAATTTTTTTTCTTGTTTTTATTTTTTTGGATCGAATTATATGAAAATATATTTAAATTTAAGCATTTTTCTACAATAAAATATTTTTCAATTTTCATATTTTGGTTTATTAGAATTTTTCCTTAACTTAAAAACATTTTCTAAACTTAATAATCTCTTATCAAATGCTTATACTAGCCAAGTTTTTTGGAGACTAATTATTTGGACAAGTAACAACACTAGCATTTTTCATATTTTCGTCTAACGTAGAAAAAATATAATGTAGGAGAAAGTAGACAAATTGTTTCTTAATGAGATTTTATGGTTTGAAAAGGAATCTGGCACCAGAATATATCTTTATCTCGCTCTTCTAATTCTTCTAACCTTTTCAATTTTCAGTGAAATAAGCCAAAAAAAGTAAGTTTTTTTTTTCAGGAAACCCACTCGCATCTTTCTTAATATTTGCTATCCAAAGCGACTTTCTAATGATTCCTTTCTTCTTTTTTTTTCCCATTTGTTTACCTTATGGCTACATTCTTTCTGGCGCCTTTCTGACATACCTCTATGGTGTGTTTAACAGCGCACAGAAAACACTACAAAGTCTACGACATACAAGAAAGAATAATCCATATTTCTGAATGATTCTTCTAAAAATTCATTCGTTCTAAGTTACTTTCAAAAGCTGTGAATTAATAATATTATCCAGTGTATATTCCAGTAAGGAAATCTGAAAGAGTTTTAAGACTGTCATTCATTTAATGCCTCCCCAAAAAATTGTAAATAAGGAAATAAAAGTCGAGATTTTATCGTTATTTTAAAGGATTTTAATGGCAAATTTCCATAATGGCACAATATAATTAAATTTGTTGTAAGTGTAAATCCGTACAGGACATTAAGCGAGTTCCATTTCTCTTAATCATAATTAAGAAATCCAACTCGGAAAAGCAGAAAAAATTCTTTAAACTGGATAATATACCTCGGTGGCAAGCGATTTCTAATAAAATTGTAAAGTGGAGACGAAATAATCAAACAGAAACGAGTCGCAATTATGAAGAAGTATAGCAGCAATAAAGTGATAAAGTTAGGCCCTATTAAATAAAAGAGCTATGGAAATAACAAATAGAAAGCAAATGATGACATGGTCGGTCATTATTCCGAAAGCAAGCCTTTAAAAAACAAAAAAAAAACAACTTCATACATAATTCAAGGCAGTTATTCTAACAAAACGAATAATACTCTGGCTGATGATAAAGTAACGCAGTCAAACAATGACATATTCAAGCATCAATTGGAATGCAAGGAATCAAACCGTTTTGCCCCCATACACTAGTAACTCCATCTGGTGCATGAACAGATAAGTAAGTAGTCAATGGTGGATATGATAAAATTGTGAATCTAGTATTCTTTCAAGACCATTTGTGTCTTTTCAAACATGCATGTACGGAAACATTACCAGGACTGCGGGGATTGTCGTTCTGTTGCTAGATAGATGCATTGGCACGTCTTCCGAAACAGAGCTGTTTTATCGTCACGTTAAAATCCCTGAGTGAATAGGAGGTTTTTCCAACTTTATTGTTGTAGGCAGTGTTAGAAAAAAACACGAGAAATGGGGACCCTTACTCTATTCCTACCACTCCCAAAGCTTATCTTCTTCGAGAATTATCAGAAATTAACGTCTTCGAGGAGGGTTACTACCGCGTAATTAATTAATTAGGACAATTGACAAATTGTTTTTGAGTTATACGAGGAAAAGAGTTATATTAAATAATATAAAATTAATTAAAGTCACCTTAACTTGACTCTCGGACATTCCAAGCGCGTAGGCTAATTTAGCACGTTCGGGTCCAGCCAGATATTTGGTTTGTTCAAAAGTCTTTTCTAAAACATAAATCTGATGACCGGAAAAAGTAGGCCTTGTATGTTTTTTCTTTCCGTCTTTATCCGTCGCATTCTGTGCCACTGAAAAAGATATTTTACACTATTAAAACCCGATTTAAAGTCATTTATATTATTTAAAATGTATTCCTCCTACAAAAAAGTAGAATATTCTATCATATTGATGTAAAAATACTACTTTCAAATGCTGCATACAGCTTACAATTCTATATTTTGAAATGAAGTTCGCCATACACGCTCCTAGTAACTCATATACATCACTAAAGATTTATCTTTATCACTATTCTATGGTATAAAATAATAATATAATTCTTCCTTTTTCCTGTTTAAAAGCAAGTAAAATTATTTTAAAACTGTTTTATTTAATAATATAATTAAATTTTTCTAAAATTTAAATTTTACACAAGAATTTGATTCTCGTTGAGACCATAGAAAGTCTGTCACTACTTACATTATAAAATTACAATATAAAATTATTATATGTATAATTATTGTTCTAAAATGGAACGGGTTAAAGAATTTAATTTATTAAAGTGTAAATTAAAAAAAAAAAAAACTTATTTAATTTCCCAATTTAATTTCGTAGAGGACGGAAGAAAAAGTTTTGTGATTAAAATTCAACTTTCATTCCTAAATTAATTTTTTACACGTTATCATAAGCTTTGTTATATCTGTGTAAATCTCAAGGATAATTGAAGAATTTCTGTAAAAGTTTAATCTTTCCTAAATTACAAAAAGTTCAGAAATTACCAAAATGTCTTCGTGGGTATTGGCAATTTCAAAGTTTTGTTCAAAGACACTCTGATTCTCTAGAAAACTTCTACAAATTGGATCATTATCAGATGTTACCTGATAATCACTTTTTCTTCCTATCTTCGGATAATCCTAAAATCAAATAAATTGAATTTTTGTCCTTTGTAAATTCACGTTTTTATCTCTCTTTTCCAACCTAATACATAACTAAAATTTGCACTCGAACTGTCTTACATTTTGACTTATTAAATGCCCATTTTATGCTAAAAAAACGTAATTTTTATGTGTTTAATGACTTTAAAATGGGAGTTATCATTGATTAGTTTGATAAATAAGATCGAATTCGGATTGTTATTTTTGTTTCTGTGTGTAGTTTGATTGTAGATTTGCCCGTAAATTAATAATTAAATGTATAATTCAGCTACAGATTATAAAGTATAGTAAAACCTGGCCAAGTTGGACACCTGTGGTAAAGATTCAAAGCGTCCAAGTTAGCGAGTGTCCAGGTTAGAGAGATGTCCAACTTTCGATGTTTTACTGTATAAAAATGTATTAAATAATTTGCAAATTATGAATTATTTTCTCTGCATTTCAGCTTTGTTTCATGTTTGCAAAATTCTTCGAAGAAACGAAGAGAAAATAATTTATCTGCTTAAAAACTTAACATTTGTTTATTTTTTATGTTTAAAATTTTTATAACTAAAATATTAAACTAATTAATTGTCGTTTATGTTTATGTAAGAGCATTAAATCGAGGAATTATTAACTAATTCTCAATTATGTAGTTAGACAAGTTAATCATTCTCTTGTGGGCCTACTAAAGTCTCATTGACTAGGCTTATAATTTAGAGTTTACACAAGAAACTAAGGCGCTAGATCTATTTAAAAATGACTGAAAACGGCGATTTAGTCTTTCCACTATTGTTCTTAAACGTTTGCAGAAATACGTTCAATATATCGAGGTATTGTACAGTACCTTCCACCGCAGAAGAAAACTGTTTTCTTCGATAGCTCTTGTGACACTAAAACGACACGCAGTTATGACACAACGTTATGACAGAACACAAATAACCGATGCCTGTTGCTAGGTTGTCGCCAGAACAGCTTGAACCTGCCGTTTTTGATACTTTCCAACATTGACATATAACGATTCAACACCCCGATACTTGTGGATTTTAAAGAGTGATTAAAACACGCCTACGCTAAAGTAATTAATTATTAGTTAAATAGTAAAAAAAGCGGCCGATTAAACACTTAAATTCTATAAGTTTCCTCGTATATTTAGGCCTGGATAATTTACGAAACGTGTCCAAGAGAGATAAGAGAATTTGTAGGCCTAGTCCCGAACTTTACGTAAGACACGATAGGCCTAAAAATGGAGCTAGTAATCGAAATTACACACGGAATTAAATTCAATTTGCGCTTGTATTAATATTAATTGTCATAGGATATTAATTATTCTAATTTAATTTAAATTTATTCAATTAAGAAGTAAATATTTACCTAATTAAATTGTTCTTTAATTGAGAATGTGAAGGTGCATTAAGACAGCTGGCCGAGTTTCGAAGTTTCGAATTGATATTGTGTACGTATTTGTTAAGCTTACTTTACAGCAAATATTGTGTTTGCAGACCACTTTCGGTAGCACAAGTTGATAGTTTCTTAGTCTAGTACGAGATAAGAGCGGAGAAAATACCTTAGTCTCCATAACTATTACACTCCAGAACCGAATGTGATAAGTGGCTGTATCGAGGCAACTAAACCAAACATCCGGAATGTCTCATACAAGATCTGAAACCACAGTTACGTGGAGTGTAATCAAATTACAACAAGTATAGGATCACACGTAACGATTGTTGAAAAACACGAAGAATATTTAGCAGCTTGGATTAGAAGGAGACCAAACGAATTTGCTTTTATTCTATGTAAAATGACGTACTGTACATACCTGCAGCGGATGCGAATCTGTCCCTCCAGAGAGCCGGATTTTGCATCATTCCTGGCCAGTACAGATGCGGTCTACCCTGGAGTTCACTCAGTCCTAATTTATGTAGGCCCCCGTTGGCGGGGCCAAAGTACATCCCGGCACCGACTCCGAGACTGAATCGTGGTAGGGCGCTGAGGGTGCCCAAACTGGGTGCTGAGGTGACCGAAGGCCGACTGAGAATATCGTTGATCCCGTGGGGAGTCGCCGATTGAGAACATGTCGCCGGAAGTCCTACTGCGGACGGTTTTAAAGTCTGTGTATTTGGATAAGTTCCGACAGGTGTGGATTTAATCTCTGCCATGGAGTGCAAGGCGGCCAGAGGAGGATTGCCGAGAAGAAAGGCGTTCTGACGCGACGCTTCCATGTTTATGTTCAACATAGACAGCATTGAACTTGCGCTAGGTGCCGATGTCGCCGGTGTATTAAACTCTAACATGGCTCCGGCGTTAGCAGATCACCGAAATCTTGTCTACCATCTCAACAGAAGCATCTAAACAACTGTACCGAGTGTTGTGCATTGGATACGTCAAATACGACACGATTTCCCTAGCGCGCCTGACTGATACCTTCTCTAGAGGGCGGATCCAAACCGCCCGATCCTATTGGACGCCAAGCGTTACCATGGTTTCGATAGACCAATAGACGAGCCCATGATGTTTTGTTGAATCTGTGAAGGAAACGGAGCAAGACAGACAATATGTCGGCCTGTCGGATGCTTCACTTTCCAACTGACGGTACTTAATGAAGCGTGCTACCACTGGTCGACCCCTTCGAGTGACACGTGGCCGCAGTCGATCCCCTTGTGATAGATAACTCGCAACTGTTTCGTTACGGTGGAGTCCGAGCCGAGGAAAGCGCACTTTTTGGCAGGTAGGAGCATCCAATCGCCTCCTTAATAAAGTTCGCGACGTTTATTAAACTTTAAACGCGCATTTTTTTACAAGTTTTTTCTAAAGAGCTGACCAATCGTTGGTCCCAATCTCTTCCGCGACTGACGTTTAAATCTCTGGTGACGTCACACCGGCGGCGTATCTCGGGAAGGCAACCGACCAATCATTTTATGCCATCGAATACAGTCTTTGATTAAGTAAAGTGAGCATCCCAGTCTATCGTTCCGATGTCCGATTCCCTTCACGGTAATTAACAATTAAACTCATCAAATTAAAATTAAACATAATTATTTCCAATTTTTCTTCCTTTAAATCAGATACTGCAGTTTTTCGGAGGCGAAAAACTAAAATTTCCTTTAAGTAATTTAAATTTTACAACCTTTTAATAAAGAAACACTGCGGACAATCGTCACACGTGTATACTATTTTAGAACCATTTCATTTTCGCGTTACGCCGTAACTAGTGATTAGTTACGCTTTGCCAAAATAAATCTCTTTACTAGCAGTTACAATGTTATCGTTGAGATAATGCTTAATTTATGGTCCGTAAATTAAATATTTATAATAAGAGGACCGTCAGACAAAAGGTTCTTTTTTTTCTTCTTTTAAAACGAATTCATTACGTTGTAACAAACCGCTCGAAATCTTTTATAAAAATTTGATTTATCAATCTAACTAGCTGTTATGGCTTTAAAACTGCCCCTGAAAAGGTTCTAACAAACATAACGATCATTTATATTGGTTTAATAGTCGTATCTCAGGCAAAGGCCTATCGCAGCTCCCTTTTTAATGTCAGCCACAAAGTTTGCAACAATACAAGCGACCTTACTGCTTCTAAAGAGCAGCCATCCAAACTGTAATCTCTTTGAGTCAACTCACCGTATTAAGGCCTATTACCTTTTTGCTATAAGTCAACACCCAGGAACCGAGAGACGGGACAATGGCATAGTTCTGTTGATATTTACATCCGCTAAATCTATTGTTGGATCCCGTAACCCCGATATTTGCCCTTCTCCGTTTTCGTGTGAAACGTACCTCGCTCTGTGCCATATCTGGTTGCCTCCATTAAAATACACGCTCAGAGCTTAACAAATTGTATGCATGGCCTCACAAATTGTGATGTATAAGCTCCTTTAACAATCTTCTCTTTGTTATTACAATGAAGATTTATTAAAGCGTATAGTTTTAACGCCGTATATTCGCTGTATAATATTTTTTAATGTATTATTACGTGTAAACATTTCTTCAAATGCATAATTTTTATAACCTCGTCGAGTGTAAATTTAAAGTTTGCTTGTTGCAACAATTGAATGTCTGGGGGGTGTCGAAAAAGCCAAGTTATGTAGTGTTAGATACTTTGCCAAACTCGTTATCCGCCGCGTGACAGCCTATTAAAAGTTTCGTTACACGATAATATAACCCTTCAGTAGAAGCGAGGAGGGGTGCCACGTATGGTTCCCATGCTAGGAAGTGGCACCGATCGGGGTACGTTATACAAATAGGGTGGACACCCGCTGTCCTCTGTCTTCTTTTCACACGTCCCGACTCGCTAATCCCTGTAAATCAGATTATCAAGAATTGGGAGTCAATGATACGGAACCACTCAAACACAGCGGTGTCCGTTATCCTGGGCAGCAAAACAGCATCACCCTTCACACCTATTGTCAACGTACGATTTATGCTTGTTAAATAGTGCACCATTTATTGCGTCCCGTTTAAGCATAGACGTCGATGATAGAGATGTTACTTATCTCTTTAACACAATCCCCTCGTCTATTATAGCCCTATTGTATAACGGATAAAGTGATCTAAAAGCCAGATATCGAACAATATGAGAAGATTATTTCCAGCTCCAAGCTGAGGATTTACGATAACATTATTCCTTGATATGGTTTTTACATTATTTAAGCGAATTATTACTTTCTCATGAAGCTCCTACGAGAGAACGACAATTAATTTTTACTTATTTGTTATAGGGCGGCCATATTGCTTATGTTTTATCGTATTCAAAGATGTAATCTTCAATAAACTCCCGCATAGTTTTTAAAATTCGATGAGTGAATGCGAATGTTTAATTATTCTCCAAAGGCGACCAGTAACATGCGGGTTTATATGAAGTATTATAGAATTTTCCTACTCCTTTACAAACAAATTACGCTTTTTTAAAATCCTCTATAAATTTAACATCTTTCGGGTTAATAAAATAAATTATTTACAGTAATAAAATAAGAATTCTTCTTCATTTCCTAACTCAAACGTTAAGAAATTATTTAAAAACTAATTAAATTTATAATTACTCCAAAAAGTATTAATTAAATTACTGAATAAACTATAGGTATGACAGAACCTGATAGAGACTTCCGCGAGGGAAGAATATGCAATATTTCAAATGATATTATAATATATAATTTCAGCAAAATATATTAAAGTATAGGCTATCGCGTTATAACTTTATGGGGCCCAGACAAATTTGAATTGAGGGCCCCACGTACAGTGTCGACTTCATACATTTTTCTTTTTCGGAGGAATTTTTTGAGGAAATATTTTCTTATAAAAGATTAATTTGGGACCCCCAATAACAGGGGGCCGCAGATAATTTTCCTTTTTTGCCCTTAGAATAACGCGCCACTGTAGGCTATATTATTTCCGTTTAGTTCTATGGCAAGCATTGTTACTGCATCCAGGAAGAGAAGTCATTTCAGATTTGTATGTTTGCAGCATCACTTAAAAATTTTTATAGGCGTAAACTTAAATTTTAAACATTTCTCTCGGATACAAAGACATTTTTTAATATAAAATAATCGTTATGATTTAAATAAATAAAGTTTTAAGCGCTTTTATAACGTCTTACATACAAGAGGATAAGATACACACCACAAGTTACAGCCATCTATAGACTCTGTAAACCATAAAGTTCGACAAAATAAAAATTTAATAAATTAATAAGCTGTTAATACATCTAAATATTATTATAATTAGGATCCTATCGTTATAGGCTCCTAATTATAATGCTATCTACATATGTTTAAGATATTAATCGTCCATTAATCTAAGTAAAATAATTGTTTGGAAACAAACTTTTCAAAGTTACACTAAATTTAAACCGTTAAATCTACAAAATTTAATTATTGTTAAGCTATTTTTATGGTTATTTTATTTAAAAAAATGTTTTATGAATTCTTTTTAGCAATTTTATTAATTCAAGGAACAGGAAATGAAGCCTCGGGGAATTGATACTTCGTAGAAGGTAATTAAATAGTTAAATATTAATTTGTTTCTATGAATAAATCTTAATTTATAGTCTAGTTCGAATATTTAGAACTTAATAATTTTAAAAAATTTTTGAAAGATTAAAAAAATTAATAATTAAAATTAAAAATCGCGTATATAACGCGAAAGTCAAGTCAAACATGAAGTTAAAATAAATTTAATCGTGTATATACTATAATTAAATTCAATTAAATAGTAACAAATTGTGATGATTTATAAAGATTAATAAACAAAATTTAAGTAGGGGAGGCGAGTTATTTACGTAATAATCTTATGGTAAATCCCGAAACGAGATTGCCCTTAATAGTAAAATCAATGAGGGGGGATGGATTCAGCCGTCTTATTTCTAATAAAAATGTTTTTAAAAAACTATTCATAAAGTTTTTAATATAAAAATAGTTTAGGTGAAGAGGAGTTTTCTTTTACAGTACGTTAGTCATGTGACCTTTCCCGTATTCCTTCCTATTATATGGTGGGACCAAAAAAGCTACTTTAGTTTCATTATGTATATTAGAAGCCATACTGATGGATAAGTCGATGTATAAACGGTATTCGATGGACGTTATCGATTTAAAGAAAGAGCTGACTTTACATAAACCACTTTTCTTTTTCTTGGTCACGTTTTTTTCTTCTCATTTCCTGTTACTTACGCTCTAAATAAATATCGGATTTTCCAAAACAAGAATAAAGCTCTTTTAAAGAGATCACAATAATCAATCGTGATGGTCTCTTAAAACTAATTTACTATGGGTCAAAGGAAGGAAAGTAATTAAAACAAATTTAAGATTCCCCCCTCCACTACTTTAATTCTCAATTAGAAGAGTCTATTCTGACGAATTCACCAAAAATTCTCATGAGTAATTTCTCAATTCAAAATTCTTAAGAGTTAATAGCTCTTGAGAGAACGACACCTTTGCAATTTTTCTACAAATTGAAACTCTTAGACTTATTATAATTTAGGATTTATATATATATATATATATATATATTATAAAGCTTAAACGTTTGTTAGTAGATTTAAATCTACCCCAATTAATGTCGACCGTTCCATCTGCCATGTTGCTGCTGACTAGGTAGCATTAAACTATCTTAAAACAATAGATCTTCTCTCATCGGCTCTAACATTGAAATAAATTGTACAGAACAGCAGTATGGTGAACGAATAATGAGCTAGGCTATTCAGTGTTACTTGTAGGGAAATTAATTTTCTCTCGCTCAGAGATCGTTAATTAAATTTTAATATTAATTATAACTCCCAGCTTCAACCAGACGCAAGTCGAATAGATTGCCTTTGCTTGCTTCCACCCCAGCTTTATAGAAAGAAACTGCATTATTTTAAACACGGCCTATTTTCCCATCCCTCAATTTTTTCCCTATATCTTATATAAAATATATATATATATATCATTTTTTTAAATTTTATAAGCGATTGCCCCTCTAAGAATCGGGCATTTTATATCTTCGTACTTACCAATTTTAATGTAAATTTAACCATTTTGATTGCCATTAAAAAATCAATTTAATTGAGTAATATATATATATATATTATAATTCATAAAAAATACACGATTTAATTAAGTTTCGTGTTAATATAAGAATAATTTATGTGTACATAACAGTAGATTTATTTCAGTTACACCGAAAAAAAAATATATTTTTTTAAATGTAAAATATAATAAAATTTTCATTTTAATTCGGAATTTAATGCAGAGAAGTTAAAGTATTATTTTTTTCCAATGCGAAAATTACTTAAAACGAAGGAAGAAGATATCATTTCCAATCTAAAATATAGGGTCGTAAAATTTAAAATTTTAAATCAGAAACCATAAAAGGAATAAAAACACATTTCTATAGCTGAAGGTCTATATATTTATACGTAACTCTATATATATATATAGAAATATAAAAACAAGCCGAAAAATAATTTGATCACCAGTGAGTCAGATGCCATAATGGTTCGGGATGATGGAAAAATACGATCTGGTATATAAAACTTAACAATATCCTCAGACATTCCATCCTATCGACGATCGGAAATTCTAAACGTCGGCCACAGAAAAAGCTGTAGAAGCAATGATAGATTGGATCAAAAGGGGAAATAAGCTATAAAAGCAATAATGGTGTCATGACGATAGGATCCAGTTCTGCCTAGCCCGTAATATAGTTTTTGATCTACGTTCATTGGACGAATTTCATTGCAGACTCCATACATTTAGTCCTGGGAACCTCCATAAAACGAGAACAAATATTGACTCTGTCGTCGATGGCGGGGAGAGGGCCGATTCTGTACGCTCCCCCCGAACTCCGCAGGGTCCAAAAGTCTCCAGGACGTTTTGCAACGATATTGAAGGAGCGAGAGGCTAAGGAGAGTCGGTTTCTGGTCGGTTATAACAACCGTTTCCCCCTCTGAAAGTCGCAGGGGTTATATCCTCCCCCCACAATCGCCGAAAACAATCCAACAGTTCGACATATGACTCGGTACGGGCGTCTCTGGCCGTTCGTAAAAATCATCTCATTTGTTGGCAGGCTCTATTCGACCGGGTCCGGTATCCAACAGTAGTCACTCCCAGGGGTGACATAGACACTCTGGCCGTTTCAAAAACTGGTTAGGCTTGGACCCGGTACAGAGCCAGCCATCCAATCACCGACGGACTCGAAAAACTACACGTTTATGTCCATTGAGAAGAGAAGTCTCAGCTTTAGGTCGCTCAATCACTGGCAGCGAGATTAAACCGTCTCTACCCAGCTGTAAAAAAAAAAGAAAAAAATAAAATAAACAGGCGAGAAGAAGGCTGCAAAAACAAGACGGTCGGGATTTAGCTTTCGCGAAAAGAATTTCGTTTTACGGATCGTTAAATTGTCCGAGAGAAGAATTGCACTTCTTTACTGAAACCTTTTAATTCGGATTTTATTCTTTTTTTTTTCTTTAAATCAACGAGAAACGTCTATAAACTGCTTTTACCTGATTTTTCTTTACTGCTCCGTTCTTCTTCCTCCCTCCCTCCTCTCCAGACACGCCACTGCTTCCTCCCTGGATTTATTTTATAACGATAGATACACCCCATCTTCTTAAAACGGTTCCTCTTAGTAGAAAATTTTATATACTTTTCAATCTTTTACCGTTTCCTCCAATCTAACTACGGTATAATTTGCATACCGGCTTCGAAATTTTGACATTGTTTCGCTAATGCTGTAACCCTCTACTACAAAATTTCCTTAAATTAAATGTGTAGGGCATAAGAATACGTAAAAATCCATCCGATAATCTATAAAAGACCTCGTATAAGCCGCGCACATTGATAGATTATATAAGAGGGGTAGGGATTAAACAATAATCTTCCCTTTCTCCGAATGGACGGCGGGTGCATTTTCGGAACATCTTTACTTTTATTTTATGTTTATACGCTAACAAGTGATAAAATATTCGATAATTTTATAAAATTACGGTTTATTAAATTAAATCGGCAAACAGAAATCGCTTTCGTATCTACATTTTATTTTCCTTTATGAGAATTTTCGAGTAAATTAACAATTACAACGGACACAAATTCTTTTAAATTTGTGAACCTGTAACATAATTATTAATATAATAATAATTTTCTTACTTTTTAATTTATTAAATATAAATAGATCACGTATAGAAATCAAGACTCATAAATAAACAATAAAATGAAATATTTATATGATCGAAGTAAACTACATCCTCATTGGTCTAGTCAATTCCCTAAAGTTTAATTAGAAAAAAATTTCAATCTCATTTTGTTTAATTTCAACTTTTAATACTTTCCAATCTTCTTAAGCTCTAAATAAAGTTTTAGAAAATAAAATTTTAAGTATTGGCAAAGGTAATTAAGTTTAGATTTATTTATTTTTTTTCAGGGAGCGCGCGTCGAAAGACCGCAAAGATAAGATTATAGGCCTATATCTCATTAAGAAAGAAGTATTTACACACAGATACAAAATTACATCTGTTCGGAATGTTTTTGAAACAAGTACTTAGAAGTATAATAGCGAATTTCTTTTTATATATATATATATAAATTTTCTCTGCTTTAGTTTTAAAAGTGGGCAGATGAAATTCGAGAAGCAGATGTTATAAAGGAAGGAAAGAGCTCATTTAAAGCACTTCATCTGTCAATTGGCTACAAATTAATCTGCAGATTCAACCAGGTGTTCCACTTCATCTTGTGCGTTTCTAAGACAACCGTTCTGTAATTACATTGGGATGATTGCTTTTCTAAGTGAAGTGCAGCAATTGCATATGCAGAGGTCACACGCGATAGTCACGCTTCTCGCTTTCTTGATAAACTTTATTAGATCATTACTGAAATTAACGTGTTCATTAAGCAGAAACTTTGACAAACAATTTAAGCGATTTTTAAAATATCTCTCTTACAATATCAGAAAATTTCGAAATTGTTACGTCTTCTCGGATTCGAATCTTCTGAGGTGCTAAGCTTTTCAGTCGGAGTATAATCAATCTAAATATTTAAGATGAAGAAAGAAATGTAAATTTGTGCTCATTTAAATTGCTAATATGAAGTTGAATTTACTGTATAACGAGTATAAAACTTTGAAATAATACATCTCGTGACGTGAGTGTTTGTAGAAAACTTTCCAGGAGGCAAGTTTCCCCAAGAAAAAAAACCCCAAAAATTATTTAATTTTTTCCCCAAAACACCCAATTTATTTAATTTCCCCCAAATAATCGCCAAAAATTACTGTATTTAATTTTTGGGGATTGTTTTTACAAGTAGATTATAGAACACGGTCGTGGTCTAGGATGTAAGGCTACGTATCTAAATAGCTTTTACCATTATAATTTGTGAAAGTTTTTACTCGATCCCATAGAGGGGAAAATGCTCCGTTTGTCCCCTTCTGCGGACGTTCATGGCTCGTGCACTGGTTTATCAATTATTTTCGAATCCCCGATAGCTCATGTTGATTCTAATAACAATTTTAAATATACTTGAACTA